GATGGCAGCTGTCTGTTAGTTGCTTTTAACTGTATTTTTGTTTACAACTCATATTATTTGTAAACTTTTTGTGAGTACTTTTAGCCTACAAGGGAGGATATAAATAATAGATACATAAGGGAAATCAGTGTCACTGTTTGTCAGTTTGTCTTAGAAAGGGGTGTGAAATGTATGACTACTTTGATACTATCTCAAGAAAAAAGAGCTGCTGATAGCTCCAGTATTAAGGCAGGAGTGAGGTAGCTATAGCCTGCCAAGTATTATTGAATCACAATTCCTGGTAGCAGGACATTTGGCCACAATAATCAGAACTTTCAGAAGTTCTAGTTCAGTTACCAGATGTTCCCTCTTCTCTCATATTATTAAAAACAGGACTCCTTCCAACAGCATGTCAAAACACATCTGGAATCTCAAACAGGACTTTAAGCTAGCTAAAAAGACCAGCTTTACTCCTGTTGGAAGCTTCCTTCCAGTTTCCTTCCTGATTATACAACTTAAAAGGGTTCTCCGCCAATTTTCTAATTTTGGGTGTTATAATATGGTATTATTCTATTTCAAAAATTTTATTTATCCAATTTAGACACGGCTTATCTCACATGCAGTGTCTTGCTATTTAACCTTTTTGAATTTTCATCTGAACTTTTAAATATTTATCATGGAAGGTTGTCAATGTTTCTTGGGTAAGCTATGGTTTCTGAAGCCTCATTCTTAAGTATCATTCAAGGCTAACTTGTCATGTATGAGGACTGCATATATAAAACACATGTGTACAAAATGGCATACTTAATAACATACTGACAGCAAATCATACCAAAATGTCTTCAACAATAGTTTTTTACAACCTAGTTTTAACCACTCAGGAATATTGCCTCTTTAAAATGTTCCTGGTAATAAGATTAGTTGTACTAATTAAGCTTAGTTTTTTAATGTTTGCTTTTTGATCAATTAAAAATATCACTTTTAAGATTTTTGGTGAATCCGAAGGCCCGAGCAAAGTTTGCAAAAATAGTTTCATTCACTGAACAATTTGTCTTTTGAAGTACACTAAATGTAGTAGTCTGATAAGATTATTAGAGTTCATTATTTATGTCAATTTATTAACAAGTGTGACATTTACAGAAAACACCACAGGTTCCAAATAAGTTAACAATTTTCTTCAATTTTATATAAAAAAGTACTGTTAAATTAAAAGTCCTGACAATTTGCCAACCACAAGCATTCCCCACACTATTGAATTACCTAAGCAGTTTGATTTTAAAGGAATCCATAAGATTGCTGCTGTGATTACAATTCACTATTGAAAACTGGTAATATTCAAAGAATAAAATGAACATGCAATGTGGAAATTGTACCAGAACCAGTAAACCTAGCACAACATCAAGGCATGGCAATACAACTCAGTTTCTTCCACAAAATACCTATTGTAAAAAATAAGGTCTTTCATACATTTGCTAAATCTGTTACAAGTTAAAATGTATTCTCCTAAATTCGACTGAACAGAACATATACCTTAATTCACATGTGATTGAGAAGGCAAATAAAATGTAATTTACAAACACTGCTTGTAAATATTTAGCTTATAATTGAGAAATATAAAGGTACTGCTGTATTGGAGCAATCTGAAATAACATCACAGAAATTTGGCATTCTAACATTTTTTTAGGCCTTGTCCATTTTTATTTCAATTTTTAATATCTACAGATTTGATCCGCATAACTTTCTATAAATGTAGTTAGTATATTTAACGATAGAATAGACATATTCTTGAAAGGCAAGTTCTTCAGCAAAGTTCCACAATCACAATAGCTGGATTCTGCAATCCAACCTGTTTATTTGATGACAAACAGAATTGTAGCTAAGTGGGAACAGCAGTGAAAATTCCCCTAGGAGACAAACTTAATGGAACATCTGGAAAGTGACTGATTCAGTTTGTGTCAGTGATACAAAATACCTATGCCTTTTGAGTTTATGTGCAAAAACAAAATAGGGTGGCAAAAATGTTCTCTTTTACAAGTGCCAAATGAGTCTTCTTGCAAATATAAACACTTCTTAGATAAAGCCTGAGATCAAGATTTTAAGGGGAAGTTATATTATATTTGGGGAAATTAATTTGGGAGCTAAAGACCATTTAGTTAAAGGCAGTTAAAAGGACCATAAATCAAACACTTAGGCATTAGCACAGACAAATGAACTGCAAATGAAATTGTCACGTTTCAAAAGGCAGGTCAACCCAGCACATGATTGTAGAAGAGTTGGGTGTACAAAATAGGATATACATGGAAATAAACACATAATTGGACTTCTAGTATTACTTTATACACCCTCTTTTATACATATGGCACACAGAAAGCAGGTATGGGCCAGTCTGTCTCTCTCTCAGCCCAACCTACTTAGCATAGTTGTTGAGGAAAAGAGGAAGAGACAGAAGTATTGGGGATGTTCACCCCTTCGAGTTACTTATAAAAGTAATAAAAGTGGGATAAAAATCTAATAAAATAAAAGCAGGAATGCGCTAGTCACTGCTTAATGGTTCTTTTGTTTTATTCCTCTTCCTTGTTCCACATAATGTCACTATCCCCACCAAAAAAAAATTCCAGACTGTTTTACACAGACATCTTGGCAGCTTCGGTCCCAAACTGCATCCTTGACTCACAAACATGCAATTACAATTTGCTTCATTACTCTCAACTACCCCATTTGGGGAAAATTACCATCCACCCACTCCGACCCCTTTAAGAACCACTGGTGTAACTGAAGTTTTCTAATAGATTAAATAAAAGGATTCTTGCTCCCAGAAAATAACAAATATTTTTTTAAAATTAGGGAATCTTTTAAAAGCTGTGACAATATGTACAGTCTACAGCTGAGTAAAAATCTGTATTTCCTTCCTGAAATGGAGAGGATTGTAGAATCCTTTCTATCTTTTTAGAAGATATTAGTGGAAATTTGAAGGGAACAGCACACTTCTACTCTTAATATAAGGGAGCATCCCACTCAACTAATTTGAAAAGTTTGGCTCTTTCTCTACTAAGTCATAAAAGAACGCCTACTTCACTAGAATAGTGAAGTGGAGGATTTTTTTCCTTAAATATCTCCATTCATTCTTTATAATTTCTCAAGCAAAACTTACACAAAATATTATACAATGGGAAATATGAATTGCATAAAGAAGCAGCATGTGAAACTTTGGGCTTTTTGTTGATTAAACAGATTTTTTTTCACTACCTATCTATAAAATAGTGCATTCTCTTTTTGATCAATTATCCAGCATCAGCTTCTTAAGCCTATTATTATTGTCACTGGAACTGAACAAATATCCAGTTTGAAAATCATTATGCACAGCTCAGACACCAGTATGCTGGAAATTGCACAAGCATTTCACCTTATACACATGCTGAACCATATCAAACTAGGCTCAAAACCAGAAAAATAAATCTATCTAACCCCCAAACTTTTAACATATCATAAAGAAATAACCCACAGGCACTTTTAATAAATACAGTGCACAGAAGTTACAGGCCACAGTTGCATGATGGAATAATTCAGTACCAATTAATAGCATGAAGCAGAGTTTGTTCAGTCTTTTACTGA